AGAAAAATAAAGAATCAGCTCAGTGACCAAACAGCAGTATTAATCACACCCTAAAACACCTGCAATTATGCCAATCTACTTTTTGCATAACAAATACATGTCTGCATTCATGTATAATAAGCACATTGTTTACAATACTTATAAAATATGCATGTAGTTTCTGCCAAAAAATAGTTTTTTAATCCACTTACTTTTGTTGACAACATGAAAAATAAGTTCTCTGATTCAAGCTCCTCTGCTTAATGTCCAAATATGAGCAGGATTAGAGTTTGTGAACCATTACCTCAATTGTTACTGTATGTTCTGAGATATCCACGACTTTTGCTCTGAAGATGTTCACCAACCACATGATCTGAAGATCAAATCAAAAGACAAAATGAGAAAAAGCAAATGCAATCAGAAAATCCATATAGTACTTATTTTTCAAACTCAGAAAGATCCTTGATATTCAGCATTCAGAGAATAATCATGCATCACCTCAGCCCGGTGCTTTGGATCTGTATTCATTTTTACAAGCATTAGTTCACGCTCAACCTGCGGCTCACTAGAGAGATCTTCAACCTGAGAAAAAATGGTTAAATTTTAAATGTAAAAATTCGAGAATTAGACTTTTATTAAAAGACAGCAATGATGAAAGGCAAATGAAACAAGCAATTAAGAATCCCTTAGATATAGTACAAATTATCAAACATCCTGAAACATACTACGATTCTCCAGGAAAAAAAAAAAAAAGACACTTAGGAATTGAAAAATTGAGCTCCGATTCCATTCTCAATCCCCCCAAAAAAACAAGCATGACCCATAGAGCCAAAATACAATCAATAACCGCATACTCGTAACTATGCACCCCACTATACTATTTGTTGATTACAGGAGAATCTTAAAAAGCAGAAACATTGTAAATTAATGAAGAAGAAACTCATCAATCAACATAAAATAGATAAGAGTCCAGAATTGTATTATAACCTTCAAAACATTGACAAGCTTTTGAAGCTGCTCAACAACTTGTTGCAGGACCCTTTCAGTACCAGATACAACAATAGTAAACAATGCCTTGTCCTTGTTCAAACCAACAGCAAGTGACTCTATGTTATACCCTCTCCTTGCAAAAACCCCAGCAATCCTATTAATCATCCCACTTTCATCCCCAACAAACACAGAAAGTGTATGCCTTCTCACGCTGAATCATCAATTCAAAACCAAACAAACATGCAACAATTATCAAAATCAGCCTTGACCCAACTAAAGAGACATCCTTTCGATGTGACTAATCAAAAACAAATAAAAAAGTGAGCATTTTCAAAAACTGGCATCGGCCCAGATGAAGAATTATTACAAAGAATTCATCTTTATACATACTTTGATCGGGCTGTTGAAGTCGCAGGACCATTAGTGGAGAAAGCAGTGTCAGCAATGTCATTATCATTTGTTGCAGAGACTGTGAGTTTGTTTTGATTGGATTTCGAGATTGTCAAAGGTGCAGTAGCTATGGCTTTCGAGAAACCTAGACTAACAGTAGTGGAATTTGAAGGGAACGAAGAAGAAGAGGGTTTTAGGGAGTGGATTGGTGTGGAGGTGATTGATGATATGGCCGCCATTACAGAAAGCATAGGTTTCAGAATGAGACAAAATGAAACTGCTTATTGCTGCGTACGTGTGTCTTTTATAAGTACTTTAACCAAACACATTAAAATACTGCACATTTGCAGTGGACTAGTTTAAGCTGCTAACTAAATCATGTTCTTCGGTAAACTTCACTTTTATCCCTATAGATTCATCAACTTTTTATTTCTATCCTATATTTTAAATTTTGTTAATATTACCCTATATTTTTCAGAGAGTTCCAATTTTATCCCTAATCGTTCTTTTAAATCTGGTTTACGAGATTTTTTTGGGGTTTTCAAGAGTTTTAATGAGATAATATTGTAGGTTTAAATACTAAAATCAAGTTAAAACATGATAATTGAATGCCTATTATAAACGTGTAAACAAAATGAAAGAATATCAAATTTCGAAGCTAAGGCATGGAATAACTAGAGGGACTAATTTATAATTTACTCATAATCCTTTTAGTGTTTTACAAGCAAGCCCTAATATGTTCCACAACGATGTCGTTTCCTTTACTTCGGGTTGCCACAAACACACTAAAACCTCTCGGCAGTGCTGAGGCTCTGAGATCTCTCCGAAGAACAGGAAAAAATGGCTCTATGGGGTAGAGCTCGCATAGCTTCTTCTTCAATCTTCAACAGGCTCCTCCAACATCCCAACAACATCAACAGCAGCAGCAGCACCACCACCTCTGCTTTTCGCAGCCTTTTCTCCACCGGTATTTCTATTTCTCTTTTTTTTTTTTTTTTTTTTGAATTTATTTGAATATCTCCTTTGATTGATGAGAATGAAAAGTGTTTTTTTTTTTTTGGATTGTGGGGAGGGGAGGGGGAATTTGTGGTGTTAAAATGGTTGACATGGTGAGCATAGAAAAATATGAGGTTTTTGAGGTTTGGTTCCTGAGAAATTGATGAAGGAAAATGGAAATTGAATTCGTTTGCGTCTAATCGTTGCTTTTTGTTGTTTGGGAAATGTGAAAGGGGAAAAAAGAAAACACCCCATTTTGCTGAAGTCTTTATTAAGCTTTTTGAAGAGAAGATTTCTTTTCTTTTCTTTTTAATAGGTAGTTTTTTTAGAGGGGAAATGAATGGGGGTTTGAAAAAGAAGCGAACTTTATCTTGTTTAAATGGTGACTTGGTAAATTAAGGCATAGAAAAAGATGGGATTTTTTTGAGAAAATTTACTGTTTGGTTTATGAGAAATGGAAGAAGGAAAATGAGAGTTGAAAGATTTTGTAATTTTATTAAGCTTGTTGAAGAGAAGCGTTTCTTTTCATTTTAATAGGTAGTTTTTGGATTTACAAGTATCTTAACATTAGTACCAATCATATGCCTTTTGGTTAGTGTCCCATTAAAGTTAAACTCAAAATATGTAACTAAGAATATTTCAGTCAAAAGAGAGAATGGAAAATTGTAATAATTCAGATAACATTGTTAAAAAAGAAAGCTTTTTTAAAGAACATATCAGGAATAAAGGGAAGAGGAAATTTTGAATCTTGTTATTGTTTTTTACGTCTTGCTTCTCACTAAAAAGAGGAGAAATTTACCAAGTCTTTTATGATGGGTTGATCTCTTTCTTTATTATGATGTATTTTATTTTTATTAGAAGAAATGAGAATATTTTTTTGTTCTTTTTTTCCCATCTGATAGATGCAGCTAGAAGCACTGATTCACTACGTGAGAACATGATGAAACAACTGCTCCATCTGGATATCAATTCACAAATTGGAAGTTGCATGCCACTTGGTGCTATGCGTATTGGAACAATAATACATAACATTGAAATGAACCCCGGTCAAGGTGGGAAGATGGTTCGAGCTGCAGGTACTAGAGCAAAGATTCTGAAAGAACCATCATCAACCATCACTGTGGTGCAGCTGCCTTCAGGTGTGGTGAAAAAGATCGATTCTAGGTGCCGGGCTACAATTGGTATTGTTTCGAACCCGGCCCACAAGGATCGAAAGCTTAGGAAGGCTGGACAGAGCCGGTGGTTAGGTCGAAGACCAACAGTTAGAGGAGTGGCAATGAATCCAGTAGATCATCCTCATGGTGGTGGTGAGGGTCGCAGCAAAAGTAGTGGGAGCTGGGGGAGCGTGTCACGAACACCATGGGGCAAGCCAACTAAAGGTGGGTACAAGACTGGTCCACTCAAGCGCAAAAGGTAGTTTTGCAGCCGTCTTTTTTTTTTTTTCGGTTCACTCATTTTGGCATGCAGCTTTAAACTTTCAAATGCTGGTGGTTCTTGTGATTCTCATCAAGAAAATGTTTTAAGGTTAGGATTTCGAAATCCATCAAGTTTTTTGCTGCCATAAATCTAGATTATTATTTTCAGTATAGAACATGGATGATAGAGAGTGCTGCATGTATTCAGCTGCAAATTCGTCCCTGTTGTTTGCTGTTCAAACCTATAATCTTGAGCTTTATTAGCTTTTCATATTAAATGTTTATGGATACTAGATTACAAATTACCAGCTTGTGAACTATTTTCCATGGATAGTCAATCTCGGGTTGGTCCTTTCATTTGAGAAGAAGTTTGAATTGCACAGTAAGAGGTGACTGTTGTTTGTTTCCTGTGATTAAAATGGTTGCTGAAGAGCTTTTTCAGCTATGAACATTCATTCTTTTTTTCTTATTCCAAAAGTCTAGTAAGTGTTTTAAATGTATTGAAATTGTGCCTGTTCTATTTTCAGATATTAATATCAAATGTATGGTCTTGCGATAGTTAAAAGTTAAAAACTTTTATTGTCTCGAGATATTTGACAAACTTCCTTGTTGTGATTCAACTTCGTTTCAAGATTTTTTGGTGCATACCTCGGTTAAACATCAAATGATATTTTGGAAGTTGATCTTTTGTTAGAGATACTTGCCTGTAAGATGAATATCTAAAAATTATCCGGAAGTTGGATTGTCATGATGCATGTATTTCCATATCTATCCGCAGTGAAGCCCTAGAGAGTTGGTCGGGTCCCTAAATCAGTTCATGTTCTGATATTCAACCCCTTAGATCGAAATGCGTTTTTTTTTCTTTTTCTTTTCATTTTATATACAAAAGTGCTCGTTTCAGAACTCTGAGATGCTGTTAACAATAAGTCATTCATCTCTTCAATTATTTTTTAACAGTTATTCATTATTGAGACTGTTCTCGATCTCTTTCTTCAGCTGAACTTAAAATATTTCTCATTTATTGCGGTCAATATGAACAGAATCAAACATTGAACTTAGACATGATTCTAACCAACATCAGAGGTTTGCATAGCATGAATCATTAGTCACTGTATACAATCGGGCTTCATCTGATGGGATTCTTCAGCAATGGAGTCCTCCTTTCATGTCTTTGCTTCTTTCCTGAATAATGACAACTAAGATAAGCCTGCCATCTTTCTACTGGTTGCATTATTTTGCATGATCCATCCCTAGTCGTCTTGCCGAAGACAATTTCAAAGCCACAAATGCTTTTCGTACATATTTGACTTGAGACATGAACAGCCTCACACACTAGCAGAAAAAGTAGCTGTACATTGTGGATGTCGGCAAGCATCAACCAATGCAAAATTATTAAATTTTTAATTAATTTGATTTTATCACATTAACTAGACATGATTCTAGTTAAAGTGTGTGTTTGATAATGCAGTTTTTTTTTTTTTTTTTTTTTTTGGTTGTTGCTGATTTGATGTTTTTCCATGCAAAAACGCTTTGGAAAAGGATTTCCAATATTATATTATCAATCACAAATTATGAGGCAAAAGGACATCATTTAAGAATTTCCTGACGCAAAGGCATAAGATCATCAAAATGCCCGTGAAGTTATTATTGCAGTAGCCACTAGCACAAGTCACATCTCTTCCTAATCCCATCCATAAACTCCCGAAAGGCAATCCATTCTTTTAACAGTAAATTATAAATTAGTCCTTTTAGTTTTAAGAAATAAATTAATTAGTTTTTTATTTAAAAAATTAATTATTTAGTCTTTGTGATTTAAATTTTTTTTAACTTAATTGTTTTTGGTTTTTATTTTTTATTTTTTAAAAAAGAAAAATTTGGAAAGATTGATGGAAGAATGATATTTTTTAAAATAAAGTAATATTAAATTAAGTTTGTTTAATACTAATTAGGAAACCAAACAGTTAGCTTTTGAGACAAAAATGATAATTTAATTCATTTCTTGAAAATAGAAGGATTAATTTATAATTTACTCAATCTCATCCCATGTCCTTTTTTTTTTTTCTTTTTCTACTTAGAACTTAAATAACCATTAGTTTTTTTTGTTCTTGATTAATAATAAGAATTAGGTAACCGACCAAGAATTTCTCACATGAGACAAGTCCAAAGCGAACTAATAAAAACGAGGTCTTTTCGTACCTAATTTCTTGCATCAAAATTAAATCTTTCTCATTTTATTTTTTAAAAATTATATTCGAATTAATATTTTATTTGGGGTCAATCTATCTTTAAATAATAAAGTAATTATTTAATTCACTTTTATATTCCTAACTTAACTAATTTTATCCTTATATAATTATGTTGCTAATTTATTATTTTGTTAAGATTTTCAAATCAAATCATCAGAATTAATCACCTGATTGTGCATGACTATTCTTTATTCTCATAATGTTTTTATAAGTTAGAAAAATAGACTACTTTCATATGAAAACTATGAAGAGATAATTTCGATAATTTAGATAATTTAGTTTGAAAGTCTTATCATACAAATATATTGAAAAAAAATTTGTTTTCTTTAGATATTATTATCCGATATTAAAGATAGTACTAAGTCATAAAATTTAACCTCTTTCAACAAACGTGATTATGTATGTTGATAATAAATTTATTTGAGGATCGCTCGTTTATCATTAAACTAAAAATTTATTGATAAAATATATTAAAAACTTAATATATATTCAAATATAAAATTAATTTAATTAAAAATACAACAACACATTAAAAATTTAGTTCACCAAACAGCCTAAGGTCACAAGGGTTTGGTCCTCTAACTAGGCAATAGTATATAATTAACGAGGGTTGCATTATTGAGAGTCAGGATAATATTGTCTACTTGACGAATGGGACAAACATTGACCACCATTTTTAAGGCTCATCTTGTCTTCACAGACGAGGTTCCTCCACGTTTTGGGAAAGAATGCATAGTGGCCACCAGCATGTCCGTGAATCCTTGACTAGCCTGTGAGATTTCACCAGGTCAATAAATCCTGGGCCCACTGCTTTGTCGTGTGGGCCCACTATATCTAATTTTAACAACCACTTGTTCTTCAAAATTAATTAACAAATGGGGCTACCGTGGGGCTTGTCTTGCTTTTTAAGCAAAAAGTTAAGGTTACAGCAAAATCACACATTCTACCCTTCCTCTTCGCTTTTAGGCTCGTGACTAGTTATAAATTAATCCCTCTGGTTTTGAAAAATAAACCAATTAGTCCCTTTTAGTTTAAAAATTAATTATTTAATCTTTTGATTCGTGTTTATCATGCTTAACTTAATATTATTTTATTTAAAAAATATCTTTTTTTCTCATCAATATTTACATAATATATGCTTAATTTTTTTAGTTACTTTCAAATTTGATGCAATCTAATGTTTAAAGATTGAGCAAATTATTATGTGATAATGCAAAGGAATAAAGCAAAAGCTTATTACAAGTAACCCTAAAATAGTTGAGTTTTTATTATTTTTATACTATTCACACACTTATAAAATACTATTCACTTGATGGTATTTTTGTGATTTTAAGTCAATGATATTTTCGTTATTTTAAGTGTTTCTTCAAGCATTTATTCCACTCACAACTCTATTCATCCTATTTTATTATACATTGAATGGCTTTTTTCTATATAGTTATTTTGAGTTTTTTAAATATTTTATACGTAAAGTTTTATTTAACTTGTTCTTTCGTCTCTCATTTTTTCTAACAATTTTTACTTTGATTTACAACTTTATTTATATTGTAATTGAGTTCTTGCCGATTAGATGATAGATAGATAAAGAAAAAGAAAGGAGAAGAGAGATCTAAATATGAAACGAATAAAAAGATCTAAATAGTTCGATTTTAAAATATGAAGAATTAATTATTATTTTTTTTAAATAAAGGGATTAATTTATAATCTGCTCCACTTATCATTAGTTTCCACTATTTTCTTCGTACCAAACTACAATTGTTTTTTAGTTAATTTTAAATTTGATGCAATCTAATGTTTAATGATTGAGCAAATTAATATGTGATAATGCAAATGAATAAAGCAAAAGCTTATCCTTTTTAGTTCTCATTAGATCACATTCAATCTCGGGTTAATAAAATAATATATTTTCGAATCACTTTAATTTATTTTTTAAAAATTTTAAATATATATCATCTAAATTGATCCAATGCATTAAAAAAATTAAAATAATAAGTTATATGCATACGATAAAAATGTCGACTTCCAATCCAAGACAATACCAAGAAGAACAGGACATTTTAGTAAACTCAAGATGTTAAAAGATCACCCAACTCTTTTGCCGCGTTCAACGCGCCCAGTGCACTAACAGCACACGGACACAGCCCACATACAGACAGTACCAGTAAATTACAACTAGTCCCTTTAGTTTTAAGAAATAAATTAATTAGTCTCTTTTGTTTTAAAATTAATTATTTAATCTCTCAACAATTATTAATCATGCTTAATTTAATATTAATTTATTATGAAATGATATTTTTTTCATCGATATTTTATTTTCATTTAAAAAATAGAAAAAAGAATAAAATGGACAAAAGGATTGAATAATTTTTTTTTAAATTGACTACTTAATTTGTTTGTTAAGACTAGAGGGATCAATTATAATTTAGTCGACAGTACCGATGACCATAATGCAGAAGACGAAAATAAGAAATGATTTATTAGTAACGGCTTTTTCGTTCATTTTCAATCCACAAAAGCCTCCCCTTCTCTCTCCCTCTCTTTCTCCTCCCTCTTCTCTCGGATCTCGTTCTCTTTTCCTCTTCCTCCATTTCCTTCCTCCTCCTCCGCCTTCCCTCAGCCAGGTATCGAGAGCGTTTAGCCCTCGCTCTCGATCCCTCAAGCAACCAAATTCTGAACAAGAATTCCATCAAAAAGTTTATGTAGCAAGCAAGCAAGAAATCATCCACCGACGAGGGAAAAAAAAAAAAGAAGCTAAAACATGGAAGGACTTGCGAACCAGCTAAAGCGAGGAATCTCACGTCAGTTTTCGACAGGATCATTAAGAAAGTCATTTAGCAGGCAATTCACACGACAATCTTCTCTCGATCCGAGGAGGAATAACTTGCGGTTTAGCTTTGGAAGACAGTCTTCGTTGGATCCAATACGGAGAAGTCCACTTCATGATAATGAACAGTTGAGTGTGCCGGAGAATTTGGATTCGACGATGCACTTGTTATTCATGGCGTGTAGAGGAGATGTTAAAGCAGTTGAAGATTTATTGGATGAAGGTGTTGATGTTAATAGTATTGATTTGGATGGAAGAACTGGTTTGCATATTGCAGCTTGTGAAGGTCATGTTGAGGTCGTTAAGCTTCTTTTGAGTCGCAAGGCTAATATTGATGCTCGTGATCGATGGGGGAGCACGGTAAGGCATTACTTTTCTTCTGTTTTTGATCTTTTTAACGCTCAATTGGTATTTTCGAGTCAGTTTTTGCAAGAAAAACGATTATGTCTACCTCATTGACCCGGTTGAAAGTAGGCCTCCGTGCCGAATGGGCATGGTTTCAAGACAAGAACCAATGGATTCATGAGAAATTACATTTTCGTAGTGTTATTTTATTTGATTTTGTAATGTTTTAATTTGTGAAATTTTTGGGTTTTGTTTGGCTAGGCGTGTGCTGACGCTAAGTATTATGGGAATGTTGAAGTTTATAACATTTTGAAGGCAAGAGGAGCTAAAGCCCCGGTAAAAATATGAAGACCTTTCTTTGATTTTGCTAAATGTTCTGTTTCTGTTTGAGATTTGGTGTTTACGTTTATGGGATTATTTTAGAAAACCACCAGGAAGACACCAATGACTGTGACAAACCCTCGAGAAATTCCGGAGTATGAGCTTAATCCAATGGAACTTCAAGTTCGAAAAGCTGATGGCATTACAAAGGCATGGTCATACTCCCCTTCAATTTCAGTAATTTGTGCTTGCAATGAGAGCTTTTTATGGTTGCTTAGCTTCTCAATGATGCTTGAAAAGAAATCGTGTTTAGCTTATTGTAGTTTAGTTGGTAGTTGGTTGATGATCTTGTGGAAAACATAGCTGATTAAGACAGCATAGGGCTTGATTTGCAGATCCTCTTTTCCCTGACTATAATTTGATAACTTCTATAACAGGGAATGTTTCAAGTTGCTAAGTGGAATGGTACCAAGGTTGCCGTAAAGATACTCGAAAAGGACCGTTGTACAGACCCTGAGAGCATGTAAGTGTTCCCTTTTCCTTCTGTTTTCATTTTTTGGGGTCAAGTCTTGTCTGTTTATTCATCTTGAATAATCATTCTGCTATGCTCTCTGATATTTGGATTCTAAGACACGGTAGAGTTGGCCCCTAATGTTTTTTCTTTTTTCGGCATTGAATGACAGAAATGCTTTCAAACATGAACTAACCTTACTAGAAAAAGTTCGACATCCTAATCTGATTCAGTTTGTCGGAGCTGTCACCCAAAATCTGCCCATGATGATTGTTGCAGAATATCATTCAAAAGTAAGCATACTTTCCCCCCTCTCTCCTGTGCTCACTGATATATGTTCATAGTAAGATTCAAAGCTTTTATCCAGTAGTTTTAACTGTATTATTTCTATATTTCAGGGCGATTTAGCAAGTTATCTTCTGAAAAAAGGGCGGCTTTCCCCATCTAAAGCTTTGAGATTTGCTCTTGATATTGCTAGGCAAGTTTGAATTTTCTTGAACAAAAAATTCTGCTTCTTCAATTGCCGAATTCTGTATGTGTCGCTGAATTACACAGCACAGCGCTTGTATAAGACAGGAAGATTAGCTAAGAGTGCTTCCAAGTGATAGAAATCCCATTTTACTTTCCTCTTAGAAGTCTGTATCTTTTCCATTTATAAGATGTCTGGGTTGATGTTCTCTTATCAGGGCCTTGAACTACCTACATGAATGTAGACCCGATCCGATCATCCATTGCGACTTAAAGCCAAAGTAAGACAACAATGCAGAAGTTAATGTGATGTGTAAATTGCAAACTGATTTGTGCTTCTTAAGATGTACTGTTTTGTGATATTGGAAATTTTGGTAAGGTGCCAGAAATATTTTGCTGGATAATGGTGGTCTATTGAAGGTAGCTGGATTTGGATTGATAAGGTTGTCAAACATTTCACCTGACAAAGCTAAACTAGCACCAGGGACTCTTATTGACCATTCAAGTAAGTTCTTTTGTACAATTTCCCTGTTTTCTTGAATGTTCTTCTAAATTTGAAACATAAAACTTACAGAATATGCTCATTCCAGCTATAATTCCTTGCATCTTCGTTTCAAGAGCAGAACTCTTCGTCCAATGTCGTCATATGTTGTTAAGTGAATAATTTTAAATTGATCATTTCAATGCATTCTTGAGTTGACACCGTTAGAGCATTGTTTTGCAGATGTGTACATGGCACCTGAGATTTATAAAGATGAAATATTCGATAAAAGCATCGATGCATACTCTTTCGGAGTCGTTTTGTACGAGGTACTTTGCATTCTAATTTGGCAAGCTAGCTTTACTTTCCTGTTACCTTTATATGTTTTTCTGCTATTCTTTGCATGGATTTGAGTGGCTAAGCAGGTCTTTTCTTCCATTTGTTTTTTGTTTGAGCTTAGATGCTCGAGGGAGTGCAGCCTTTCCATCCCAAATCTCCCGAAGAGGCTGTGAAATTGATGTGCTTAGAAAACAAGAGACCTCCATTCAAGATCAAATTAAGAAGTTACCCTCCAGATTTAAGAGAGTAAGTGTTGAATTCTGTTCCCAATTTCTCTTAGAGATTGAATAGAGTTATCCCACAAGCAAGAACAGTACAGTAGATTTAGACATTAGAGTGCCTATTCAAATCAGATATTGCTCATGCAGAGGCAGTGCCCTAAAACCAGTGAAGAACATCCAATCTTTTCTTAAGCTTGTCTTACTATTGTCCTGCAATTAGAACTAAGTAGGATAACCTCGAGGGAGTGGCTTAAAACATTTTGGGAACCATCTTGATCTTCATGTAGGTTGATCGATGAATGTTGGCATTCAGAACCTTTTGCCAGGCCAACCTTTTCTGAGATCATCACAAGACTGGACAAAATTTGTTCCACCTGTTCAAAACAAGGATGGTGGAAAGACACTTTTAAGCTTCCATGGTATGCATATCTTGCCCTACATCTCTGAAGCAGCAATCTCTATAGTGTCCAAACACCACTGCCTTTTTACATCATTGTTCTGATCTGCAGGAAATAACAGGAGGCATTCTGTTGCATTTCAAATAAGGGGAAACATGGAACAAGACCGGAGATTTTCGTCGAAAAGATTAACAGTTTTTTTACTGAGAATGAATCTAGGGGACAAAAATTGGGGATCAGGATCAAAAAGAGTTGCTACCCCTTGTTCTCTTGTTCCTTTGTATGTATAATATGTGTTCTTGGGATCCTTGTATGGATTGAAATAGTAATGTTGCTTTATATTTTTGGTCCACATATATATAATTCAGTGCTGCAATTTCTCTGTGGAAAGGGCATGTGCTGGCTGCTATCAACAAATTTTTGAACCAGCAGCTCCTGTCATTAGATCATCTCTTTAATTCTAGTTTGTTTTTTGTTTTTTTATTTTATTTTTTGCCCTTATGTTTTTCCTTTTGTATTTGGATTTTGGAATATATTTTGTTATTGTTTTTGCTTGGTAGTGCTCCTTGGATTGATTGGGTCAAAGCCCAAATCATTAAACAAATTATATAATAATAATAATAATAATAATAGTGATAAATTTGACGTCTAAGTTTTGTTTTTTATTTTTTTTTAATAAGTTTTCTAATTTTGGTGTAAATGATCTATTTTCAAGAAAACCATGAAAGTAGATTTAATCTTATATGCACAAGCTAGTTTGAGGTATCGAAAAATAATAATATATCTAAAATCTAAAATGTTATTACCTTTTCTCCTTTATTTTGGACGAACTTTTTTTTCTATTACTAAAAAAAAAAAAACACTCAATTCAAACATTAATAATAACAAGAGTAAATTATAAATTAATCTTTTTAATTTCGAGAAATAAATTAATTAATACTTTTTATTTCAAAAATTATTTATTTATTCTCTTTCAAGTATTGATTTTTTTAAATTTTTTAAAACAAAGAAACAAAATAAAAAAGAACATAAAACAAACAAAAAAGAATAAATAAATAATTTTTAAAATAATGAGAGCTAATTAATTGGTTTCTCATAACTAAAAGAACAAATTTGAGAAAAACCTTACTGTCTTGTCGCCCAAGAAGACACTGCGGTCTTATTGTTCCAGATTACGCCTTTGACAACTATATTATAAATTAATCCCTTTAGTTTTTAGTTTTGAGAAAAAAATTAATTAATCCCTTTTATTTCAAATATTAATTATTTAATTTTTTTTACTAGAAATGACCACATTTAAATTAATATTACATCATTTAAAAAAAATTATCTTTTTTCATAAATTATTTCATATTTTTTTAGTTATTGTTTATTTAAATTTTTATCATCTTTTTTCATAAATTGTTTCATATTTTTTTACTTATTTTTTATTTAAAAATTTTTAAAAAATTTAAGTAAAAAATATGAAACAATTTATGAAAAAATATGGTTTTTTAAATGATGTAATATTAATTTAACCAAAAAAATAAATTACAAGAAAATTTAAAAACATAAAAATTAAAAAAAAATTTAAATAAAAAATAAGTAAAAAAAATATGAAACAATTTATGAAAAAATATGGTTTTTTTAAATGATGTAATATTAATTTAACCAAAAAAATAAATTACAAGAAAATTTAAAAACATAAAAATTAAATAATTAGTTTTTGAAAAAAAAGACTAACTAATTATTTTTTAAACATAAAAGGACTAATTTATAACATTCTTTCCCCTGTATGGCCCTCTAAAACCCTCTTCCAGCCCTCCCTTCTCGCCTCTACTGCTTCTTCGTTTCTTGACTTGCCAAAAAAAAATCTTTTTCTCTCTTTCTCAAAAAATCACTGTAAGATTTTCACATGAATCACTTTCTTCCTCCTAATTACTCATCTATTTTCAAAATTTTTGCTTAATTACTTCTTTTCTTTGCCTGATGAGCTCCAGTTACGTTTTCTGATTTTCATTTTCTTCTCTCTCTTTTTTTTTCCATAACAGATTAGGTTGGCGGATACTTTTATCGAGAAATGAGAAAATGGCTGCCAGAGCAATTTTTCGAAGGAAGAAACTGATTTCTGATCACGTCAGTTCTTCTGCAACTCGTTCGCTCCCGAGTTTCATCGGCAATGCGTTTCACAGTTCCGATTCCCGAAGTTTTAGCGTTCCGGAGAGTGATGGTTTTGATTCTGATCTGTTAATCGGAGCGGGATATGGTGAGAAGTTGGTCAGAAAAGATGAGTTGTTTGGATTTTATGGTTTAGGAAATGTTAGGTGTTATTTTAGTGGGAGTTTCGGAACTCCGCGTTTTGCGGTCGAGAGGTTTAGGTCGGTAAATTTTGGTACGGGTGGAATTTTATTGAGGAGTGCGTCAACGGTGGCGGCGAAGAAGTTGCCGGAGTATGGGAGGGATGCGGATAAGGTGGAGGATAAGGAAATGGTTGGTAAGAAGAGGAAAGAAGCGTCTGCGGAAGAGTGTGATCAGGCCGTGGAGGGATTGAGTTCGGCGAAGGCGAAAGTGAAGGCGAAGCAGTTGAATGAATCTTTGAAGGTTGAGAAGTCGGTTTTGCAGAGAACTTGGGCTGCTCTTCTTGGTATTGGTCCGGCTTTACGAGCTGTTGCTTCAATGAGCAGGTTGAAAATTGATGAAAAAGTTTTCTCTTTTGTGCTGTGTTAATTTTTGTGTTTTGTTATGTTGACTGACATCTGTGTTTTGTGTTTTGTGTTTTTTAGGGAGGATTGGGCGAAGAAACTTGTGCATTGGAAGCATGAATTTGTATCAACATTGCAGCATTATTGGTTAGGGCTTAAGCTATTGGGCACTGATGTGAGGATTAGTTCGAGATTGTTGTTAAAACTTGCTAGTGGGAAGAGTTTGTCGAGGAGGGAGAGGCAACAGTTGACTAGAACTACTGTGGATATTTTTAGATTAGTTCCGTTTGCTGTTTTTATAATTGTTCCGTTCATGGAGTTTCTGTTACCGGTGTTTCTGAAGTTGTTCCCTAACATGTTGCCGTCTACATTTCAAGACAAGATGAAAGAGCAGGTATGGATTTTTGTGGCGTTGTAATTCTCTATAATTTATTTGTTGGTTTTTTATGCTTGAGATCTTTTCTGTGTCCTAGTCTGGTAATTTTAGTTGAAATGAGTGTAGTGATAAAATTTGTTTAGAACAGACATGTTACGTTAATATGTATTCACAACTATTCACTTATGACAGGGCTGCAAACAAATCATGTCGATTATGAGCAATGCTTAATTTAGCTTGATATAGGCTCGTTTCCCCTTCATATATTGATAACCAAAAAACTCATTGAAACTTGATTTGAGACTTGTTTAGTAAATATCCAAGTTCAAACAAGGCTGTGGTCAGTTGTTTTCCCCCAAAACAGGCTTGAGGATGGGCATGTGATGAAGCTTGGTACTTGGCTTGTTTATAGTTTGTTAACTATTGATGGATATTGGTTGCGTTCATATAAAATTTCAAATGAAGAATAAAATAAGGATGCATTTTACTTAACCAAAGAATGTATGCTTTCTTTATCCTAGTTGCCTATTTTCGTTTTTTAAAAGTTTATTATAGTTCTTTCTTCATATAATTACTTAGTCTAACAACATGGGCAACCTCAAGCTCAAGCTAGGTTTGAGAGCTAGAATTTAGGTTTGTTCGAGTTTGATATCAACAAGCTTTAACCAACCAGAGCTGGGTGCATCAATGCTTGGCTTGGTTGGACTGGTTTTGACCCCTACTCCATATGCATATGCAACTTTGCATGCGTCCAGGGTTTTTCTTCTCTGGCCTCTTTTAACCACACATGTTGCTTCCTTCTCGATTTAGGAAGCATTGAAAAGGAGGTTAAATGCAAGAATAGAATATGCCAAGTTTCTTCAGGAGACAGTGAAAGAAATGGCTAAGGAAGTTCAGAACTCAAGGAGTGGAGAAATTAAGAAAACCGCTGAAGATCTTGATGATTTTTTGAACAAGGTAAGAAATTAGTTTGTGTGTAAACACACTTATAATTTATTTTCTTTTGGTTTTTTTTTTTTTAATTTATGTTCCATGTTAATATTCACCACTACAAGCTGCAATAATTTTGCAGGTTAGAAGAGGCTCCATTGTTTCTAATGATGAAATTTTAGGCTTTGCTAAGCTTTTCAATGATGAATTAACTTTGGATAATATCAGCAGGTTGGTGCTTGTCTCAATTTCCTTTTTATTTTAACGTATTCTTATTGATTTGCTCAATATATATATTATTTGCTTGCTGAGTAACATTCTTCTCCTTTTCCCTTATTTTGCTTCTTCCAGACCTCGATTGGTCAATATGTGCAAATATATGGGAATCAGTCCTTACGGAACAGATGCATATTTGCGTTACATGCTTCGCAAAAGACTCCAAAGGTTAGCTTTATGTTATTCCTTCTGAACGAATTGATGAGTGTCTGTTACCTCTCTTAGGATCATATAGATACGGTTGACCTGAGGGAGACAATGAGAGAGTACTCTAGAGGATTGGCTGTGCTAAAGTGGGTTCTTGTTTTACTGTGAATAATGTCATATTCAAGCTTTTAGCCACCTGTGGTCAACTCAATAGTTTATTGAGCTTTCTGTATATGGAATTTTTATTGAGAGAAATATTTGGTTGTTTTAGGTGATACTACTTAGTTGTTGTTTGATTAACCTCTGCTTCTGTTGATTTTCCCTAAAGAGATTATCCTGTTGGTTCATCATACTATTTTGTTTTCCAGGATTAAGGATGATGATAAGTTAATTCAAGCTGAGGGTGTGGAGTCTCTTTCAGAGGATGAACTTCGGGAAGATTGTAGGGAGCGAGGCATGCTTGGATTGCTCTCAGTTGAAGAAATGCGGCAACAGGTGTCTTTGTTTAACATTTTTTTTTCCATTTCAAGATACAGTTTTTTAGAGTTTAAATGGATGTTGATGATTTCAAGAGTATGTTTGTTTGCATATCTAAAATGGCATATATAAACATTGGATTGGTGTATGCTAATGTTGAATTGTTAACAACCTTAACATTTCTACAACTCCATTATTTCAACCTTTTTTTTTCCCTGAAGGGGGTGGGGAGTTTGAGGAAACTATTTGCTCTTAGTTTTCACTATAAACCACTCTTACTTGTATAGGGTTGAATATTACAAATTGAATATCCATGTACTAATTTGTTAACTTCCTGACTTTTCCTTTCAGCTTCGTGATTGGTTGGATCTGTCTCTCAATCACTCTGTGCCATCTTCTCTTTTGATCCTTTCAAGGTGAATCCTCTCCTCCCACAATAATTCTGTTCTCTCCTCATCATTTTGTTCCACATTAAACTTTTCTTTCTCATGCATATTTTAGCCTGTTATTCCCTCCGAGTTTTATGGTTTTTGGAACCTGTGCAGGGCCTTCACGGTATCTGGAAGAATGAAACCCGAGGAAGCTGTTCGGGCAACACTATCTTCCCTACCTGATGAGGTTGTGGATACTGTTGGTGTTACTGCTTTACCATCAGAAGATTCTGTTTCAGAAAGGAGAAGGAAACTGGAGTACCTTGAGATGCAGGAAGAAATGATCAAGGTTGAAAATTGGCTGCATTTTACTTTATATTGCTAGCAGCATAGGAGCTTTTATTTCTTCAGAAATTTGCTGCCATTGATATTTCTTTTGAAGTACCTAAGCTTTTTCTCAATTGATAACTTGTAGGAGGAAGAAGAGGACGAGGAAGAAGAGCTTGCCAGGATGAAAGAGTCTAAAGCTAGTGAAGAGGATGTAGCACTGAAAGAGATGAGCCTATCAACAGCAAGAGAAGCACAAGAACTGGCTAGAGAACGAACATTGGACAAACAAGAGCATCTCTGTGAACTTAGTCGTGCATTGGCTGTTTTAGCTTCAGCATCTGTAAGGATTGGGATGTTACTAAGTTTTAGTGGTCAAGGTTTCGTTATTTGTTTCTTTCTATCATAGTTTTGGTGATCTTCTCTGAAGTTTTTCAATTCTATTTTCTACTATTTTTGCAGTCAGTGAGCAGAGAGCGTGAGGAGTTCTTGGGCCTTGTCAATAAGGAGGTACTATAAACCTTGATTATCTACTGTTTAATGGTTTTAGAGATTTTCATGTCTGTTATGTATGTCTATTATTTTTCTTTGATTTGCTTGAGAAGTCAAGTGAACTGTGAGGTGCATAGTCTTACTTTTAGGTCAGGAAATAAGTTGGATTTGTAGCAGCACGATAACTCAGCTCTATTTTATGTTTTCAGATAGAGCTTTATAATAGCATGGTAGGCAAGGAGGGTAATGATGGCGAAAAGGAGGCTACTAAGGCATATAGAGCTGCTCGAGTGGAAACTGATCGTGCTTCTGAAGTGGACAAACGAGATGTGGTTTCTTCTGCACTAATAGAAAGGGTAACACTCTCTGATCCCTTGACTAGTTGAGCTCACATCTACATGTTGTAAACTCTTACTAGCTATACACTGCTATGCTGCTTTTTGTTCTCTAGGTTGATGGCATGCTCCAAAATCTCGAGAAGGAAATTGATGATGTGGATGCCAAAATTGGTGATCGTTGGCGAATACTCGACAGGTGCAGCAATGTTTTGTTTTTGGTGATAATGCCTTTTCTTCTCCTGTAGGTACTTTGAATGCTTGTATGTTCCATTCTGGTAAAGTATCCAAAAAGCTTAATTTTATGTAATGGGCACAGTCTATAGAAGCCATCAATTCAAGGTCATTGAATGTAGTTCTAAATGAACTTAGGGTTCACCATTCATGACTTCTTGCACCTGAAGTAGCCAAGAGGTAGTCTGTTGAACTATTATTAGGTGATAGACTGAGTTAGGCTTGAGGAATGTCTCAGAAATGAGTGTTGTTGTCTATTATGCAGCAGAGGCATGAAAATGCAGGGAATACAATGTTATATGAACTCGATCCTGTGAGTGCACTCACATTGAGTAATCTTACTTGCAATCACATCGAGTAATCTTACTTGTATGCAGGGATTATGATGGGAAAGTTACCCCTGAGGAGGTGGCATCTGCTGCCATATACTTGAAGGATACATTAGGCAAGGAAGGCATCCAAGAACTCATCAGCAATCTTTCCAAAGATAGAGGTCGGCTAGTCATTCTGTTTTCATTTATGCTTCTTTGATTTTGAATGAGTGTGTTTAAAAATTCATCTCTTTCTTCTTATTACAAGATTAAGGCATTGGTTCTCTTGAAATTCAGCTCAATCATGCAAACTGGTTTGGTTTCAAGAAAATGCGATATCTTACTTTGCATAATTATAAAGTCATCTTTTCATTTTTCCCCTTTTACCATGTCACATGAAAAAATATTTCTTTGCTGCGAAAACAAACAAATTATACCTTGTAATCACCTAGAACCTAGTCAACAGATAATTTTCCCAATCCAATTGGGTGTTGTGAATTGCTTATCAAAGCAGGAAGTATATTTAAAGCAGGAAATCTATCAAAGGTCAGAAAATTAAGATGATGTTTTTCTTCTACCTTTTAGGTTTTCTCTTCTTCCTGTCATTATGTTAAGCATTCATAAAGTTAGTATTGTTTCTACTTTACCTTATATAGCTGATACTTAGATCATCTTCAATGGAACAGATGGAAAGATTCTTGTGGAAGACATTGTCAAATTGGGCAGCAGGACGGAAGATGCCAATGCAACTGAAGAGAGGGAAATGTAAAAAATTCCTTTAACTTCTTTCCTTACGTTTTCTGGATAGTACATGCCCAATAATAGTTCAGTTAACGATAAAATGGCATGCCGTTTAATGTGATTAGGACCTGTAGAATAGTTATTGAGCCATTTTTTTTGCTGTGGACCTATATACCTGGCCCATATCTTTTAGGGTCATATTATACAGGTAACCTCGATTTTCCCAGCACATTGATGAAGCTGGGCATGCTTGCTAGTTCTGTAAAAGTGAATTCTGATAAATATATAAACGATATAGGTACACAGTAAAGAACAAAGCGTGATATTGGGTGTGATTATAAATAAAGTGCTCTATGCAATTTATGCTTCAGGTTGAAATCATGCTTTAGCGTATGGTGTTGCTAGTTGAATGTGCAATCAAGTTTATGATTGAGGCAAAATACATTGATAGAAGAAGCATTTTCAAGTGTCAAGCCCTTGCATTTGTAGGCTTTCAGAAGATTGAATCTTTGGCTTCATGGTACTTCCTTGCAAGTTCTGCTGCAAATTCCACAATATTCTTATCAGAGCTTCCGCCTTCAGCTAATGCTGTTTTGGCTAGTCCCATCCATTTCTCAGAATTCCTTCTCATCTCCTTCCCTCTTTCTCCTTCCATGACTTCCCATATACATCTTTCTACGTCTTCTTTAGCGACAATCCCCTTTTCATTTGCCTTCACTTTAACTCCTACTTGCCAAACATCGACAATGTACTTTGCATTTGTTGGTTGATCTGTCCACTGTGGAATTGCCACCATCGGCACTCCTAAGCTCAATGCCTCTAGTGTTGAGTTCCACCCACAATGAGTCATGAAGCAACCAACAGATTTGTGAGCCAGAACCTCTAGCTGCGAGCACCAGGTTACAATCAGACCCTTCTCTGATGACTCTTGTGCAAAGTTGCTTGGAAGTTTTTCCTTCTCTGATTCTCTGACTACCCACAAGAAGTAGCAGTCACTCCCCTTTAGGCCCCAAGCAATTTCTGCCATTTGCTCATATCCTATTGCAGCCAAGCTTCCAAATGACACATAAACCACTGAGCCAGTCTCCTTTGAATCTAGCCAGTCCATGCAACCGCCCAGATCAGGTTTGAAGAGGCTGAGACCATACTCTTTGTCATCCTCCAGCTGCTTGTCCAAGTAAACTGATGGAATCATTGGTCCTATTGGCATTATTGACCCTAGGCTTGCCAGCCTGTTTATCACCTGATGGAAATCAGTGACATTTTGAGTTCCATAAAAATGAAAGCAGCATACTTTGAATATATGGTAACATCTTATGAACAAAGAAAAAAGATTTTAGTTAGGAATTTGAAGCATTGCTGCTTTTGTTTATGTTGCTTTGTTTCAGTTGTTGACTGCTTGCTTCTTTGATTGCTCATTGATTTGCTTTATTAACATGCGCACATTCAAATCAAGACATGCACTTCTTATATAGAGATTCTTTAGTGGTACCTCTTCCTCCAGGGCGTTGAAAGTGTTGACGAAGATCCAATCAGCTTCCCTGAAATTCGAAAACTGACTGATCACTAACGTGAATAGAAATGAGTATTCTGATTTGTTGTCGTGCACGAATGATGGTAGTTCATCTAAGTTTAGCTCTGGCAGCCCTGAAACTGCTACAGGCAACTTCTCCAGTGGAATCTTTAGCTGTTCCTCATGGATGTGGTAGTAGACAGTGTTAACAGCACACGACTGTGTGAAGAATGAAGCCCCAGTGAGGCCAAGCTGTCTAGCCGACTCGAGTACCCAAGGCATGAATGAGTCGTATACAAGACAACTTATTGGATGCCCAGAAGAACTTAGTTCTGCAACTAGTTCTGGCAATTTTAGTGTTACTGTAGCTTGGAATTTTTTTAGGTAGTCATCTACCGAAATTTTGCCCTCCTCATAGCTCTCAAAATCTATGGTCACTACTTCGACCGAGCCAAGTCGGGGATGCATGAGCACCTCACTTGAGAAGATGACTACTGTGGCCTGGAGTCCTTTGGCGGCTAGGCGCTTGGAGAATTGTATCATTGGGTTAATGTGACCTTGAGCAGGATACGGTATGACCAGTACATGACTCTTGCTCATTCTTGCTTGCTTCTCTATTTCTCTCACCAAACCTCTGTTTGCTTTTCATTCCCTTGAGCAGAGCCATTGCGTATATATATATATAGATGCATGTTGCGTCTAAATTTTGTGGTTGGAAGAAACAGTTGCTATTGTGATTAGATTTAGCAGATTTACGTATTGGCATGCGTATGCACATGGATGTTTTTGTCGTGTCATGATGTGTAGAGGGAAGGTAGTTGGTCTCTACTCTGAACTTCAACTACTAGTCATTTTTGTTTTCTTCGTAGTTGGATTCATGTCAAGATAAGATCCAAATCTCTGCAATTAACTCACAGGTAAAAGGATAGTCAATAAGTAGGGTCTAAGATTCAATGCTAGTTGAAAAATGTGTTTTCGATTTTGTCATCGATCTCTGTAGTGAAACCTATAGAAATCGTTTAAGTAATTATTAGACCTGGAATTCATGGAAACAGACCCTCACCTTCGTCGCAGCCGCCGTAGATTAGGTTTATCATGCTATACTCGTGGGGAAGTAAAAACAAGCATTATTTGGTAGGCAACGTCCCGAAGCTTCTCATCAGATTTGACTTCGAAGTGCCGTTTCTTATGTTAGCCTTGAAGTGATTTTTAAAGGAGGAGGATGTTTTTTTTTTTTTTTTTTTTTTTTTATAACTAGTAAAATTATTTTGATAGAATTTGAATTCATGATCTTTTGTTACAAAAGATCACTATCATTGGGTTCCAAATTCTTTGATAACAATGTTGATTTTAGAGTATAGTTTTAAATAGCAATTGTTGTTGAGAAAACGATCATGATCATGGGTTGCGAGTTATTATAATAATAAAATAATAGTCGTAATAACAAATGTCGTGAATTACATTAACAAAAATTAATAAATTTATTTTAAATAATATATTTTTAATTGATTTACTAATTAAGCATTCTAACAACATATTTAATAATTTAATATCATATAATAATAGTTTAATTTATTACTAATAAATAATGTAAACAATTAACTTAAAGATTATGAGAATTGCGTTCATAGGATTAATATAAGTGTTCACAATATTAAATTACACAAAAAAATATTCACAATATTAATTAATACAAAGTCATCTATAATATTCAATAGTTATATTGAAAAAGAAAAAAATAATTTTGAAAATTAAAATACAGACAGCTTTTTTTTATGAAAATTAATAACAAAATTTAATTTGAAATTAAAAAAAAAATTGATGAAATTAACATAAAATAACAAAGTCTATGTTTAATACAAGAGTTAGCAACACTAAAGATTTAGAAATCATATCGAACGAGGACTCCTTATTTAGCCCAAATCCAAAATACAGAATAACACAAATAATTAAACAATCTTTTAACAATTAGGATAAAATAAAACTAAAACCCAAAGCATAAAATAGAAATAAATAAGGCTGAATTTTCAGCCTCCGTCTGGATTTTAAGGAACATCCAAGCTCTCTGCATCTTTAAATCCAATTGACCTTAGACTTTTGACTTCATGTTTTAGTGCATATCTATACTCCCGTTTCATGTTTTTTTCTGTCTTTTAATGTTTGATTGTGGCAATGGAGATCGAAGGTCTGGAATCAACTTGCATGACCCAGAATTGTTGAATTAGTTAGATATGGAATCAAGTTTATGATGGAGGCAAAATACATCGGCTAAATAAGAGGCATTTTCAGCTGTTATAGTAGAGTTTGAGCTCTACCATTGTACAATCTTTACAATATTATACTATCTCTGGATACAATAAAACTCAAGCATTCCAAACACATTTCATCTCTTTATGTTATCAAAGCCTTCATAGCTTAAAAGCTTTTCAAAACAATCCATGGCTTCCTTCACTATTGAAAACCAAATTTTTTCCTTCAATGCTCCCACTCATCTGCCCACCAAACTCATTAAGTTCAACTTCTCCGTATGGCATTCTCAACTAAACTCTGCACTCATTGGCTACAACCTCTTCAATTACATTGACCACTCACCACATCCACCTATAGAAATTTCAAATCCCGAAGAAACATCTAAAACCATTACGAATCCAACATACCTAACCTAGTATAGGCGGGATCAATTGATCTTAAATGCTATATTAGGGAGTTGTGTCATTGAAATTCAATCACATATTTTCACAGTTTCATCTTCACATGAAACGTGGTCCAACCTCTCTATCTTGTTTACAAACAAATCTCGCTCTCCTATCATGTCCCGAAAAGAAAAAATCCATGACAATCCTCGTAGTACTAGAACTATAGCTGAATATCTACAAGAAGTCAAAGCTATTGCTGATGCTCTTGCCATTGCCGACAATTTAGTAGCGAGAAAAAGATCTCATTATGCTTGTCATGAAAGGAGTTAGAGAGGAATTTTCTCACATAGCTGCAGACTGTTCGTGTGCGAAATACAACAATATCCTTTGATGAACTTTTCGATAAGTCTGGAGGAATATAAGCGAAGACTCCAGGCATCAACCCCAACCTCACTCTTGCAACGATCAATCATACATCATGTCATCGTCCAATCAATTCCGCATGGACTACCGAATTCAATCATGGTTCATCTCGGCCAGCATGGCAACTCAAAACCTATGGCATAAATTATGACGCCCCGGCTTCCTTGCTTATTACCTAACGAGCGTGATCGGTGCGACACATTGTTGGAACTAAGTCCCCTACTTCCTCCATCATACACAACAAAATACATAGATAACTACACCATGGGCAACGTATGATACGATTTATAAACGTTATTACGGATAGTTCTATAATTTATAAAATACTCAAAATGCCAAAAAATTTATAAATTAGGCCCGTACCCCTTTTTAATGACACAAAAGATATTCCTATTTTTATGAGTGACACATGAGCCTCTTTTAGTGAGAACCAGGTATTATCCTCGATCGGCTTAACTTTGCCCTTGCCTAAACAACACACAAATACAATAACGAATGAGTCAAAGCGCGAGTAAGTAGGATGATGCACATGATATGCAATGCTATTCCGTTTTCCATATTTTCATCCATTTTAATCCGAGTACCTCAGGTATCCGCAAGTCCATGCGTTCTATCTTTCGGTGATCGTGTTATCACCTACTTGTTCTATTACTCTCTCTCGATTATCACCTACTGCTCGCAATAGAATTATCCCTCGTTGTAGCACACGATTAGCGAAATTATCCCTCGCTTAACGGTGTTAGTAAATAGAGCTCGTACTATGGATTCCTTGCTATTACCCATTTCACTCAATTCGGTTACTAAACCGTGTCATTTCATGACTCAGTGATTTTTCTCAATTTATTCCACCCCCAATGCACGTGATGACATATTTAATCACATTTAACCAAACTCGAGTGCCAACCTTTCTTTCTCAAGCCATACTTACGATCCAACCAACACTCGAGATTCACCCATCGCTCATATACCAATCATGGTACTCATAGCGGGAACACAACCTCCGCTTATTAATATTGTTTATTAGTTTTATTAATATTTAAAAGAAGGTCCAAATCTTTTTCTTATTTCCTCTCTAAAAGAATAATTTTTTTATAAAATTTTCAAATCCCTTTTATTTCTATCTAAGTCCACTTATTTTAGTCGAAGTCCATTTTTTTAGTCTAAGCCCATCTACTTTAAAACCAAGCCTTTTGATTTTAGTCCAAGTCCATTTAATTTATTCTAGGCCCATTAACTTTATCCAAGTTTATTAACTTAATCCTAAGTCCATTGAATTTATCCAATTTCATTTTATTTTATCTACACCTATTAATTTTGTCCAAGTCTAATTATTGGGTTTTAGGGTTTACTATCGAGCAATCTCTAATCGAGTAAGTAATTTTTCAACTTCTGAACATAATTAAATCTTACCCATTTTATTTTAGATACTAGACATATTTATTTATAACATATATAAAAATTAGGTCGAAATACTAAGTACACAATTTATTATAAAATTTTGAAACTTAGGGAGCAATCTACCCATTAGTAGTTTATCTAGAGCTGTCCATACTAAATCGGGTATAACTCTTTGTAAACGAATCTACTGACCAAGAAATGTTAAGAGACGTTAGTTGAAACATAGATGAACAACTTTTA